AGAGGCGAAGGAACGGCAGGTGTTGGTGGCGACAGAAAGGTATAAGGAGAAGGAGTTGGGGCCCGCCCCAAAGCCGATCGCAAGGAGGTTTATCCTGCCGCGTCCCTAGGGGATGGAAGCGCAGGATTGGGAAACATTCGTGCCACTGAAGGCGTCTATGGATCCGATCAAGGCAAAGAGCAAGGCAGAAGTGGACCGAATGTTGAAGGAGAGGAGGGCACTAAGGGAAGGAATGGAGATGATAAAGGCAAAGAAGGAAAAGGGGGAGGCAGAACAATCGGTGGAGGGGGTTGTAGAACCAAGGCCTAGAATGGCGACTGAGTGAGGAGAGAGTGATTCCCCTGTGGCGGAGATGGTGAACTTAGAAAAGAAGTATCGCCCCTCGGAGCAGAAAATAGATGGTGCTGAGCCAACAGTGGGCTTTCCTTTAGCCGAAAGGGAGGTTCTAGGAAGGTAGGAGGTGGAAGGAAGACCCCTTGTTGTTGTGCAAGGGGGTAGGGTAGAGGCAGGCTCAAGCGTGGGGGGCAAGGGTACTGCTTTCGCCACTTGAGTGCAATAGTCGATTGGCCGTCAGCTAAAGGAGGGGAGCCGTCAGAGGTGTCACTAACAGCACGAGCTACTGTTGAGCGTTTGTTAGGAGCCATAAAAGATGCGGCTGTAAGGGGTGTGTCCAGGCTTGCAGAAGCTGAGCTGATGAGGGCCTTCTGCTCATCATAGATGGAGTCTCTGACGTTGGCGGCAGATCTGCTGGGCAAATAAGTGAATGCAAGGCTTGACCCGAAGCCCCTCAAAGCACAGTTAGAGGTGGCAAAGACAGAAGTAGGATGGAGGCGAAAGATGGCACAAAGTGCGTCTGCCAGAGGCCTGATATGTGCGAAGTAGGCAAAAAATATGGAAGTATTGGCTGTGGTGCAGCATTTCATGGCAGAGAGAGTTGTAGCAAGGCAAATGGAGGTGGCCGCAACGTTGGCTACCGTGACTACTAATCTGAACCATGCTAAGTTCTGGAAAGTCTCTCACAGATCCGCTAAGTGATCAGAAGAGAGTTTACTTTTGACGAGCATATCATCGACATATACTTCCATGTTCCGACCTATTTGTTTTTTGAAAACGGCATTGACCAGGCGTTGGTAAGTGGCCCTCGCATTCTTCAGACCAAAGAGTATCACACGGTAGTGGTAAGTCCCTCTGTCAGTAATGAAAGAGGTGTGCTCCTGGTCGGCTGCGTGCATTAAGATCTAATTATAGCCAGAGAAAGCATCCATGAAGCTAAGCATCTGATGGCCCGTAGTCACATCGACCAATAGATCTATTCTAGAAAGTGGATAGCTATCTCTGGGGCAGGCTCGGTTGAGGTCGAAGTAGTCGACGCATAATCGCCATTTACTGTTATTTTTGCAAACCAAGGCCACATTAGACAACCATCTGGGATAGTCCACGTTCCTGATGAACTGTGCTTTTAACAGCTTGTCCATCTCAGTGGTGATGAGGTTGTTGCATTCTGGATGAAAAATGTGTTGCTTTTACAAAACGGTCGGAACTAGGGTTCGATGCTGAGGCGATGAGTGATAAAAGTGAGGTTAATGCCTGGCATGTCCGCATGAGTCCAAGCAAAGACGTCCCTATGCTCGGTTAGGAGAGCAATAAGGTCGGTCTTGGCATGGGGAGACAACTGACTATCAATCTTGGCGTCTTCGTCGGGTCGCTAAAGTCGATTGGTACTTCTATTAACTCTTCCACTGGTTCGCCCCTGATTAATTCCTCCTTGAACCTGACGTCCAGGCCTTCTATGATCATGGCCTCTTTCATTTTTACTTCCTTTAAGGAAGCAGTGTAACTTTCTCTGGCCATGGTTTGCTCACTCCTTACAGTGCCGACCACATGATCGGTTGGAAATTTTATTGCGAGGTAATAAGTGGATGTCACAACATGAAAGGCGTTGAGAGCTATGCGTCCAAGTATGACATTGTAGGCAAAGGGGCAGTCAACAATGAAAAAGGTGAGGATTTTCATCGTTTGCCTTGGTTATTCCCTGATAGTGATTGGCAGGTCGATGGACCCTATAGAGATTACATTGTCCCCAATGAAACCGACAAAGGGTGTTTGCAGAGGTGATAACCTTTCTTCACCAATATGGAGCTGCTTGAAAGCATTAAGGAAAATAATGTCTGAGGAACTGCCATTGTCGACGAGCACACGTCGAATTTTGTAGTTGGAGAGGAGAGAGGAAATGACCAGTGGGTCATCATGGGGGTATCGGACGCCTTCACAATCTGCATCCGTGAAGGTAATTGGTTCCGACCACCGCTTGGGTTACTTGGGAGATCGATCAACTGTCGCTACCTCCTTGTCTAACCTATATCTGATTCGTCGGAGTTCGGCCACTGTGTCGATCGAGATAGTCCTCCACATGCGAGCCCACTTGCAATGACCTTGATTTCTCCAGCTGAGGGAGCGGGGGCCCTTAGAGCTCGAGGTTAGTGTTGGGCTCTATCACTATCCCATCAGGGCTGGTTAGTCGGTCTTGGTGGGGTACGTCTGTCGTTCCATGTCGAAGGATCAGTCTTGGCCCCTTGGTGTGGTCAGGGCGCAGTGAATTAAGTTAAGCGTCCTTGACGGACCAAGTCCTCGACCTGATCCTTAAGATTGACACATTCGTCCGTATTATGGCCATGGTTGCGGTAGAAGCGGCAGTATTCTGACTGATCCCTTCGATTGGAAGGAAACTTGGATGGTTAGGGCATTTCAGGTCATAATCTTGCTAAATTTGGTTCAGGATGTGCTCTATGGGCGTGTTGAGAGAGGTGTACCACTCGAAACGGCAGAGCGGTCGAGGAGGAGCCGCTCGGTCGAAGCGAGATGGTCAATCTGGATGAGTATATTGGGGATGTCTTGGCTCCGACTCTTTTCTCTTGTCTTTGGGTTGTGAAAGTTTAAATGCAGAGTTTTGGCGGGTTACCAAGGAATCTTCGGCATTCATGTGTTTTTGAGCTTTGGAGGGTGGCCATGGTCGTCGGAGGGTTTTTGGAGAGAGAAAAGAGGAATTCTGACGGGCATAGACCGACCATGAAGGCTGTTAAGATGACCTTGTCATCATTCTTCTCAACCTGGAGAGTTTCTGCATTGAAGCGAGTGACAAAACTACACAGCGATTCCCCTTTAGTCGGTCGAATATTCAACAGTTGGGTCGCTAAGCGCTGATGAAATGGCTGAAAAAAGAGTCACTCAGTTGTTGGAAAATGATGACAGAGTCCGGTGGCAATTGGCCGAACCATAGCCGCGCTGACCCCATTGAGTGTTACCAGGAAAGCACGACACATGATTTCATCGGAGAAAGATCATCATAAGGGTCCTATAGGCTTCCAAATGGTCAACTGGATCGGTTGTGCTATCGAAGGTGCCAATCGAAGGCACCTTGAACTTGGAGGGTATGGGTTTGTCCATGATGAATGCAGCAAAAGAGGAGTTGGTTGTTATGGAAGGTTTGTTTTGCATGTTCTGCATGAGTCCCTGAAGTTGGAGCTTTACGGCTTGCAGTTCGGCGCCCCAAATAGGAAAGTTGTCACCACCGGAAGGAAACGGGGGTTGAACCTTGCTGGCCTCGCCTTCGGGAGCGGGAGTGTGGCATGACGGATGCGATCCCTAAGGTGAGATGCAAGTCCGGAGGCGGGAGAAGGGGGCCCTGGGGAGCATGTGGTTGGAGTGGATGGCTTGGGGTTTGTTCCCGGTTTGGAGAGATGTTATGTGGTGGTGGAGAAGGAACAGGGAGATCTCGCTGAAGCAAGACATTGAACAAGGCCTGGTTTTGTTCGGCCAGGCGGTTGATGCTATTGGTGAGTTCTGCAAAATATGAAGGTGGAGTATTGGGGTTGGAGGGCTCAGCTTCGGGGTTACCAGCGTTGTGTTGGGAAGCCATGGATCTAGTCATGACCATTCACCCCGATGTAGGGGGTGGGTGATTATGGGGTTCTTTCTGGCAGCAATGAACATAACTGTCTTTCTTAAATGGACTTTGCACAGACGGTGCCAACTGATGATGCAATAATTCCAATAGAGGGTGAGTCAGACTGATCCACATTTCTAACGTACAGGATCTGCCTGCAAAAAGGTCCAAAAGGGGTGGTAATCCTCCAGCAGACCCTCCGACGATCGAGTTAGAATATAATAGATTGATTGAGTCCAAAGAGAAGAAGGGAATGAAGAACTTAACCTTTTACGCATCTCAAAAGTTTCCTTATATCCTTTGTTCATCATTTCCTTGTCCATTCCATCCTGTCGCGTTGGCCGAAAGTCTATATTCTAGCTCGCATCGTTCATGGTGTGCCTGTATCCTCTAACGTTAGAGGGTTGTCGTATTTAATGCTGTGAGAGCCTCATTAATGGCTAATGTGTGGATGCAATAACTATACAGGATCTTTGTCTGCCTACGTGACTAGACTTCTATTTGGCCAGTGTTTGAATGTTGTTGGTCCGGGCCTAGTGTTGATTTCTCGGAGTTATTAGGCTTTGATCACTGGGATATGAACTGGGCCATGATCCATGGGTTAGGCCCTCTTGGGTGCTAGTTGTGCCAGTCTTATGTGTCCATTAGTATCAAATCTCATTTTTTCAAATAAGTGTGTTTATATGTTATTCTTTTTAATCACACCTTCCAAACAAATGTGATTGTATATATTTTTTCAATTTTAATTTTATATAAAATAATTTCCAATTTTATGATCCGTGCGCGGCTGAGCAACCCACATACACACAACACAACACAACACAATTTAGCTTGTTTGGATTTTCATGATTTATTTTTTTAAAAATTAATTTTTTTTATTTTTATTAAATTTTTTTAATTTTTAAATACATCTAACATAAATACATTTAAACAATATAATATTTATAAAAAAAATATTTAAAAAAATTCACTAAATATCAAAAATATAAAAATTCAATATATTTTTTATATTCTTCTATATTTATTAATTTTTTAAAAATATATTTTTACAAATGAATCTAAAAAAAAGTACACTGGCCATTCCGGTTGAAGCACCAGGAGGAGCTATTCATCGCCACTGAGGGCAAGTACACTGGCCAGTTCGTATTCTGCGAGAAGAAGCCAATCTCATGGTCGGGAATGTCCTCCTCCTCAGATCCATCCCCGAAGGTGCTGTTGCCTGTAACGTTTAGCGCCGTGTCGGTGATCGTGGTGTTGTGGCTAGTGCTTCTGGCGATTACACCATTGTTATCAGTCATAACCGTGATAATGGTACCTCTAGGTATTGTGATTGTTTGTTTTAGTGCGAATTGATCTAATTCAATATTTGATTACTCGATTCCAATCTGTTTCGTAAATTGGGTAAATGGCTTTGAAATCAATGGATTTAGGGATTTAATTTGCAGAACTGTTAGTTATTAGGGTTGGATTAAAAACATTAGGCGATGACTTAATGTTGAGATATTTTACCAGAATTCTTGTTTTTAAGAATTTGGAATAACTATTTTGACCTAATCGTTTCAAATTAACTCATAAATCCAAAGAGCAACCTATCCTCGTAAAAATAAGGTTGTGTTGCTCATAAAACATTAGCAATATAGAAAATAGAAGTTAAATGTTGGCTTATTTTATAATAATCAAGTTCAAATTCTCTCACTTTAAATCAATGAATGCAAACACAACCTTATTTTTTTGGAGTTTAGCAATCTGGTTGTCTATTGAAAATCTTTTTTTCTTTTTTTAAAGCTATATTGAAAAGTTGTTACTGTGGTGTTTCTTCTTATATTTTCAATCAAAGATTTTTTTGATTAATAGTATTACTGGTGTGTGCAGCTCTTGATTGATTAATTACTGAAAAGTTGTAGTTCAATGAGAGTGTAATTGATCTGACCCTAGTCCTATGAGTGTCGTGTTGTCAATTTGGGGGGAAAATGGTTGTATGATATGCCAAAAGTTGTTACTGTGGTGTTTCTTCTTATATTTTGAATCTAAGATTTCTTTTGATTAATAGTATTACTGGTGTGTATTGTTCTTGGTTGATTAATTACTGAAAAGTTGTAGTTCAATGAGAGTGTAATTGATCTGACCCTAGTCCTATGAGTGTCATGTTGTCAATTTGGGGGGAAAATGGTTGTATAGTGTTTGATATACCACTTACCTCCAGCTCTTTCTGATACCTTCGTAGACCAACCTACACCACTGGTTAAAGTTTTGAGGTGTAATCTGCCAATACTTATCCTAGAGATTGTCCAAGGTGACCATTCAAATGGGAGTTTTGAACATAACATCCACTAGATGTGGCTTAGAAAATGGAAATTAGCATCTGGTTATTTATTTATTTATTTTTTTGATTGTATGTCAACTTGGGATAATTTGTTTGTCTTAAATAATATTATAATGTATGCCATTTACAGTCCCCATGATTCCATATTAGTGTGGAGTTATCCTGTGCATTCTTAATTGTGACTTCTGCACATTGTTCTTCTTTCTTCTTAGATTCATTTTTGCATTTAATGTTTGTGCAGTCGGTGTGAGACCCTTAACTTTTGAAAATCCTATTAAGTCCTTGACTTTTGAGATTTTATAATAAAGCCCTTAGTTCCGTGCAAAATTAACCCTAGAACCGAAAACGCATCGTAAATGAACCTGTACAAACCCTAATCAACCCCGATAGCTTAGTAACTGATTCTGACACCCTAATATTAACTGTAAGGCCTTTGACCTTGGTAATTTTATTCTAGGCCCTCACTTTTGAACTCTTTCTCGATTCCTTATTTATTTTCAATTTTAGCTATAGAGTTAAAAACGTGCGCCAACCGAAAACTCGTAAACCCTAACCCGGGAATTCAGGGATCATTTTCAAAACCCTAATAATAATTAAATTAATTCCATAATTATATTTTTCACTCAAAAACCCTAGATTTCCGATTCCCATTAGATTCGCCGTTTAATTCGAAATAAAGAAACTTTAACCGAATTGAATTTTCAAATCCTAATTAAATTAAATACTACAATTAAGGCCTTGGCCCTCACATTTTTCTTGAATTACAAATTGACCCCAAATTAGTACTTTTGCACACACATATATATATACACATTTGTACTTGGATTTATTTTGTACACAAATATCTTCTAATTAGATACAATTTGTACACAAAAATCATGGAAAAATCTCCCCAAATCCAAGTACTATGGCTAGCCACCTCATCTTTGTATATATAGGTGTGCTTTTGTGATCAAATCTGAGATATGAAAAGATTTAGAAAGATTTGGGAGATAATGAAAGCTATAGGGATATATAGAAAGATTTTGTACATTTGCACGCACGCACACACACACATATATATATACACATACTTGTACCAAATTTGCTAAATAAATAAGTTTGTACATGAAGATCTTTATAAAATATGCAATTGTACACAAAATAAATCAATAGGATCCTTCCAAATCTTCATCATGGCCAACCATGATAACATGCCCTAGGTTATAATAAGAATCAAATCAAATATTCTCTAAAATCATGAGAATCAAATCATATGTGTTTGTACCTTAATTCAATCTTTGTCTACAAATATTACATCAAATTGTACACAATTTCCCAAATCTTGAGCACATGGCCGACCACTTTTTTCCTCTAGGGTATTGTGACGACCCTGTCACATACTTTACTTATAATTCTTTAAGTATGTATGTGCTTAGTGCTTGATGTGAATTTGAGTGCTAAATATGTGATTAATATGGTTTTTTGATTCATATCTGAATATCTATTGCCATTTCCGTTATAATCCAAAAATTGATGGCCGTAAAGGCGTCAGAAACCGAAATTAGTTAGTTTATTGTGATTGGCATAATTTTTAGAGCCTACTGAGAAGTTTGATTAAAATTTGATTTAGATTAAATTAATTAGATTAAATCAATTAGAATTAAGTGGGATTAGTTAACCTTAAGCTTACTTAATAGCCTAAGTTAATTACAAGTATATATATGTGTTGAGATGTGATTAAACTTATTTTGGACTAAAAAATCTGCTGGGAAAGAGAGCTTTAGAGAGAGAACTTGATTTTAGGGCGAGAAAAGGCTTGGAAGCTTGGAGTTGCTTGCAAGATTGAAGGATTGTGAAGAATAACTCAAGTTTTTGCTAGAATTGGTGCATTTGAGGACTCTAGGTATGTAATTGAACCTTAATTTGTGAATTGGAGTCTTCAATGTGTGAGATTTAAAAGATTACATGATTAAATGAAAGAAATGAGCTTAAGAAGAAGAATCTAAACTCAATTCTTGCATGAATGCATAATTTTGTTGTATTCCATCATTTTGAGTATGATTTTTGTCATCCATGTTTAAATTATGGATCATACCTTACATGCATTCATGAATTATGAAGTTTTGAAGATTAATTCCATGTTTTGAAAGTCTTGGAAGGGAATTGAAGTTGAATTGATGCATGTATAGACGTTTTGATCTCCATTTTGGCAATTCATAACACTTTTGAGCTCATGGTTTCAAGTTAAGCTTATACATATGTATTTCCATGTATTTTCAAGAGTATGGTTCAAACATGCAAGCTTATACACTTTGGAATTGAGTTTTGAGAAAAGAGTTTCGAAAATCTTGCATGCATGGAGTTTTAAGTTCAATTTTGGTTGAAACAAAGAGATTTTGAGCAAATGATTTTTAAGGGGTCATATATATATATATATGTTTTCTAAAGCAATTTTCTGTTTTTAAATGAGCCATACATGACCCAAGGCTTTGAATTTGTGTTTGGAAACTTTCTATTTTGAAACCCAGAAATTTCACAGATGGCTCGAGCGACCAAATGGTGGCTCAAGCGAACCATGGCTCTAGCGACCAAAAAATGGTTGTAGCCATCAACTTATTTTCAGCATGTTTTCAAAAGACGTTTTGAGTTCATATCTTTGTTTTCATCTCTTTTAGTCATGAATTATGACTTATTATGGATTAGTAAGTTAAGAAAAAACATAAATAAATGACTAGGAAAGAGAGGAAAGATTCATTCGGTTTGAACGTTGAATTTCATCGTTTGAGCATGAATCTTGTAATCTATGTTTTTGAAAGAGTTTCTAAGTGTTCTTTGAAGTTTTGAATAAGCCATGCAAGTCCATGATTTGAAATTGTGTTTGAAGTTTAACTCTGTAATGGAAATTTTAGAATTCCGCCTCGGCGCTCGAGCGAAAAATTTGTCGCTTGAGCGCACTTTGCATGCATCCAGTATTTTTGTAGACCTAGTGGTCCGCTCGAGCGACCAATGTTGCGCTTGAGTGAAGTGCCCTATTTCAAAAAATTTTGAAAAGCCATATTTTGTTCCAAATTCCATTCTTATTCCTTTTTGAACACTCTTAAGTATACATTGAGCATTTTAAATGAATTAAAAGGTTAGAAAGATCCTAAGAGAATTAAACAAGTTAAGGAGCGGATTGAATAGCATTGTGATCCAACTTGTGTATGTTTATGAATTGTGTAGGAGCATCCACGAGGACGAATCAACACTCTGAGCACTGTGAGTAATATCTTAGTAAAGATGTTTTGTTATATGCTATTTTCTTAAATGCTTGTATGGTAAGTTTCCGAATTTATGATTTCTGAATATGAATGAGACTTCAAATGTTTTGAATGTAATTTCTGAATTTGATTTGTTAAAGATCAAAGTATAATGGACCTAAGGTCGTTTTGCTTATAATGGACCTAAGGTCGTTTTACCTATAGTGGACCCCAGGTCGTTCTGCATATAATGAACCTAAGGTCGTTTTGTATGAGATGGACCTAAGGTTGTTTTGTGCATTTGATTCAATGGACCTAAGGTCGTTTGGTATATTTGTCTAAGGATCCAAGGTCTGTTTTGTATATTGATTTAATAGACCCAAGGTTGCTTTGAATATGAATGTATTGGACCAAAGGTCGTTTTGAATATGAACGTATTGGACAAAAGGTCGCTTTGAATATGAATGTATTGGACCAACGATCATTTTGAATATGAACGTATTGGACCAAAGGTCATTTTGAATATGAACGTATTGGACCAAAGGTCATTTTGAATATGAATATGTTGGACCAAAGGTCGTTTTGAATATGAATGTATTGGACCAAAGGTTGCTTTGAATATGAATGTATTAGACCAAAGGTCATTTTGAATATGAATGTATTAGACCAAAGGTCATTTTGAATATGAATATGTTTGACCAAATGTCATTTTGTCTATGGACATGTTGGACCCAAGGTCGTTTCATTCCTTTTACATGTTCTAAGTATAATGGATTAGACCCAAGGTCGTTCCGTTATGATTTGCTTAAGTACGTTATAAATGGGAATTGTGTTCCATATGTATTAAGTACAAATATGATTTATTTATATACGAATCTTATTCATCAACCTCTTTATTCTGGTATTATTTACTGGACTTTCGCTCACTCCGTTTATATATATGTATGTAGGTGAGCAGTGGGATGTCCAACCCCAGCCTTAGTGAGATTGTAAAAGGTTACTGAGATTTTGGAGTCAGCCAAGGTTGCTTCACACAAGAGGCTTTTGTTTTGATCTTCTTTTGTTTACTTTTGATGGTCATGTATGACTAGGTCTGTATATAAACCTTGGTTTTTGATTTGCCAGTTTCTGAATGATCTTGGACATGTATAATCTTTTATGTTTTGTTGGGTGTGAGTTATTATATAAGTGAAAAGTTTTTGTTATGCCATATACGCACAGCTCAATGGACAAAATTTATTAGTTTGCTTTTGCTTTTGGCCCCTTATTGTTAAATATGTTTGATTTTCTATCTGAGGCTGTAGGTAATCTCATGATTACTGGCTAGTTATGATCTTAACCTCTAGGGGTGGGTTTAGGTCATGACAGATACACTAGGATTTTCTAGGATACACTTGGTACAAAATTGCTTGAATCATGGAACCATTATGACTTTGGTATCTATATAGATTTGTTATATATATACATGTGTGCTTGTAACTAGAAATAATTACTTAGTCCTAAATCTAACTAGATCATGATTAATGATATAATTAAGGCCCTAATTATCTCTCTTTCCATTACATTCCACCTAAATACAGCTCAGTTCCGTTTCATTCCAACCAATGGACATATTGGACTTTTTCACACCAAATCCTCTATTAATATATCCATCCCATTTGTTGAGCACATTTACACACTCACACACACATACATGGCTGGGAGAGAGTAAAGAGAGGAAGAGAGCTTGGTAGTGGAAAAGAAGAAAGGAGAAGCAAAAATTGTGCAAATTGTTAGAATAAGAAATAATATTGTTTGATTTTATTTTCCCTTAATTTGTGTAATGGGTTGGCCCATAATTTGTGTCTTGTGGCACTCATGTAATTACTCATTATTATCTATATAAAAGGGGATAAGGTCTAACTCATTCTCTAACTTTTTCTCTTCTCTAAACCTATATGGTATCGGAGCCAAAATCCTAGCCCATACCTTCTTCTGTTTTGTCGGCAATCACCTTAGTATCACTACCGGCAGCCCTTTCTTCCCTAGGAGTCCAGTCGGCCCCCATAGCCTCTCACCCAGGCCATCGACAGTCAATCCACAGCCTTTGGCAGACCAAGACAGTCTCCTAGGGAGTCTGTCGGCAGCTTTTCTGGCACTCTAGGGGCCTGTCGATAGCCTCTTTGGCTTCCTTGGCCTCTGTTGGGGTCTCTCTTGACTCTTAGGCTTCGGTTGGCCCTCTCAGTCGACTCCCCTTTTCTGTCACAGTGTCGTTCTTCTCTCTCGCTGTAGTCAGTTCGTTCTTCTCTCTCTCTCTCTCTCTCTCTCTCTCTCTTTTCTTGTAATGATTTCGACCTAGTTACATTAAAAAAAAAATAAAAAAATGATACCTTAAAAAAAATGATACATTAAAAGAATAAATAAATAAATTTCATTCTTTTGATGATTTCTTTGTGGTCATAGTGTTTGCTATTCCTCAACCTTCTTTCGGGTTTGTGATTGGCATTGGGTTTGAGGGTTACTTAGTAGAATATTTATGGTAGATTTCACTAGTGAGTCCGCAACTTCTCAACCGTCTAAGAGCGAGAGTTCCCTTATACCTTCTACCATGACTGATAATCTCAACCCTGGCCTTAAAATCACCACTTTTCTATTCAATGGTTAGAACTATCTAGTGTGGTCGTAGAGTCTAACTATTTTCTTGAAGAGCAGAGGGAAGATGGGGTATGTTGATGGTAAAATGCAGGCACCTATCACCACAGACCTAAGTTATGATCAGTGGGAGATCACCAACTCCCTCATTATGGGTTGGTTGATACATTCTATGGTCCTGGAGATTGGAGAGGGCTATCTCTCTGTGGACACTGTGCAGGATATTTAGGAGGCCGTGACTACCACTTACTCCCGGAAGGGGAACGTTTCCTAGGTTTTTGAGTTACATCGATCCACTAAAAGGTCAGTACAAGGTGAGATGATTATACTTCAGTATTTTATCTTCCTTAGCAAGGGTGAAAGCAACTTGATCACCTTCAGGATTACAAACCAATCTATCTCACTGATTCTATTGGTTACCAGAAGTTTGTAGCGTAAAAGTAGGTCTTCAAGTTCTTGGAAGGCCTAAATGTGGAGTATGATCCGATTCGGAGCAGAGTACTTGGCATGGATGTGTTTCCTTCTCTCCAGGAAGCCTTTGCTTTTGTGCAGAATGAGGAGAGTCGTCGCTCTGCGATGCTTCTTTCTACCACTGCTAATCGCTTGGCCTTGGTTTCTACACCCCCTCACGATGGAGACCGTGTGACTCGTGGTTCTTGTCCTTCATCTGAGAAGGATAATTCTTTCTGTGACTACTACAGTAGACCTCGCCACAAATGAGAGACTTGTTGGAAGCTACATAGGCCTCCTTCTGGTGGCCGAGAAGACTAACCTGGTACTCGAGGGGCTTGGGTACATCTTTCAGACATAGTTGAGCCACCATCTTCCTCTTCGGTTGTCTCTCCTGATGCTAATGTTTCGGGGTTATCTGCCTCGGATTTTAAGATTGCTCTTTGCCACTTGCTAGATCATCGAGCCTCCACTTCTACTCCAGGTGCACCCTCTTCTTCCTTTGTCAATTCAGGTAACTTGGTTTCCTCTTCATATGCATTGCTATCTCATACGACTGTACTATAGATTTTTGATTCTGGTGCTTCCGACCATATGTCTGGCTCCTCTAATTTATTTTCAAAGTATAATCCCTCCTCAGGTCAAGAAAAGTGCACATTACTGAAGGTACTATTTTGTCTGTGTCAGGGAAAGGTTTAATTCATGCTATATCTTCCCTTCCTTTGTCCCATGTCCTCCATGTTTCAAATTTTAGTGTTAATCTTTTATCTTTGAGTCGTATTACTTGTGACTTAAATTATAGCATGACGTTTTTTTCCTGATCATTGTCTTTTTCAAGACCTTATCACGAGGAAGAGGATTAGTAGTGGTAGAGAGGAACATGGTCTCTACATTCTGGATCAGACAAACAAGCTGGCTCATTCATCTATTCAGTTACTATCCACCAAGGACAACATTTGGTTGTGGCACCGTTGCTTAGGACATCCTTCCTTTTTATTACTTAAGCATATATTTCCTTCTGTTTTTTAGAAAAATAATGTGTCGGATTTTCAATGTGAGTCTTGTCAACTTGGAAAACAACACAGAGCCTCTTTTGCTCCTTCTATTAATAAAAGTTCAGTTCTATTTTCTTTTATTCATTTTGATGTATGGGGTCTATCTCGTTTTGTGTCTTTAACCGGTTAAAAATGGTTTGTTATCTTCATCGATGATTGTTCTAGGGCCACTTGGGTATATTTGATGAAAGATAAAAGTGAAGTATTTTCTGTGTTTCAAAACTTTCATAAAATGGTTTGTACTCAGTTTGGGGCGGTTGTCCAAATTCTACGTTCTGATAATGGGAGGGAATATATTGACTTTGGTCTTGCAACTTACTTCGCCACTCATGGCATTATTCACCAGACTTCATGCACTAATACCCCTTAACAAAATGGTATTGCCGAACGCAAAAGTTGCCATCTCCTTGATGTCGCTTGTTGTCTATCCTTTGAGATATGGGTTCCTCGATCCTATTGGGGGGGAAGCGGTTCTCATTGCCACTTATTTGATTAATCACCTTCCTACCCAAGTCCTTAAAAAACAAACACCTCTTCAAGTTTTGTTTGGGTCTATCTCTTCCAGGTTCTCCGTTTCTCCTAAGACCTTTGGCTGTGTTTGCTTTGTCCATAATCATTCACCAACTCGTGGTAAATTGGATCCTAGGTCTCTTAAGTGTGTTTTTTTTTTTGGGTTATTCTACCACTCAAAAGGGTTATAAGTGTTATCATCTTCCCACTGGCAAATGGTTGGTCTCTATGGATGTCACTTTCTTTGAGTCTCAGCCTTACTTCCGACCTCCCCGGTATCACAGTCATCTCTTCAGGGAGAGCTTTGGTGTAAAGAGATTCTTGTTCCACTTCCTCCAGTGGTTACACCGATAGAGGATGATGAGCCAGCAATTGTTGAGGAAAAGAAGCAAGCAAAGTTTATATCAGGGACAAGGACAGACATCAAGTCACCTGAATACAAGAGACTACTTTCCCTCCTCTACTGCCAACTTCTTCTCCGGATGAGTGTCCAGAATCACCCTCATCTCCTGAGAGTCTAGGTAATTCTAATTCTAGCGCTCCTATTCTTGAGTTTTTAGATCTTGATGTTCCCATTGCTAATAGGAAGGGGGTTAGGTCATGTACTCATCATCCTATTACTAATCATGTCTCTTCTTCTAATTTGTCTTCCTCGTATAAAGTCTTTTTGTCTAAAGTGTCTTCTGTAAGTCTACTTACCAATTTTTAGGATGCTCTCTCTATTCCTGAATGAAAACATGCCATGATGGAAGAGATGAGATCTCTTAGCAAGAGTGGCACTTAGGAGTTGGTAGAGTTACCTAGAGGCAAAAATCCAATTGGGTGTAAGTAGGTGTACACGGTAAAACACAAAGCAGATGGTTCCATAGAGCGGTACAAAGCAAGATTGGTTGCTAAGGGCTTTACTCAGATTTATGGAGTAGATTACCAGGAGACATTTAGGAGTTGTTTGGGATGATCTAAATAAGTGCACTTTTTTACTTTTTATGAAATATGGGTTGGGTTTGGGTTAGGTTTGAAGTGATGTGTAAGAGAGGTGATGTGACTTAAATAAGATGATGTGACTTAAATAAGATAGTGACTTTTTAACTTTTTATCTTTTTCAAGACATGCCAAACTTGGCCTTATACTGACTGCTAAGATGAACTTTGAGAGAATCTTACTCTCTCTTGCTGCAAATTTGGATTGGCTACTTCATCAGTTTGATTCTGCAAATTTGGATTGGCCACTTCATCAGTTTGATATGAAGAATGTTTTCCTTTATAGAGACCTAGCAGTCTATATGGATATTCCCTCTAGTTTTGCAGATGCTAAGTCCAAAGATAAAGTATGCAGGCTCCGAAAGTCGCTTTATGGGCTAAAGCAGTCTTCTAGGGCTTGGTTTGAAAGGTTTGCTTAAGCTATGCTGAAATATGGATTCAAGCAAAGTCAAGCTGATCACACCTTGTTTGTGAAACACTCCTCACATGGTAAGACCACAGCTCTTATTGTCTACGTTGATGATATTGTTCTGACAGGAGATGATGTTGAGGAGATTCCTCGTTTGAAGGAATACTTATCTAAGGAGTTTGAAATCAAAGACTTAGGAAATTTTGAAGTATTTTTTGGGTATTGACGTAGCTCGAACTAAGGATGGCATTTTCATATGCCAGAGGAAGTATATACTTGACTTGCTAAAGGAAGCTAGAATGCTTGGAGGTAGTCTGCATGATACATCTCTAGAACCGTGTCAGAAACTAAGTGAGGATCAAGAGGGAGATCTAGTGGACAGGGGGAGATACCAGAGGCCAGTAAGTAAGCTCATATACTTATCTTACTCACGTCCAGACATTGCCATTGCAGTGAGCATGGTTAGCCAGTTTATGCATGCTCTTAGAAATTCCCACTTAGAGGTAGTTATGAGAATCTTGAGATACTTGAAGGCCTCTCCTAGAAAAGGTCTCTATTTCTCAAAACATGGACATCTCAGCGTGGAGGCATTCACTGATGCGGATTGGGCTAGATCAGTCACTGACAGATGATTGACTTCAGGATATTACACATTTGTTGGAGGCAACCTAGTCACGTGGTGCAGTAAGAAATAGAATGTGGTTGCTAGATCTAATGCTGAGATAGAATTCAAGGCTATAACTCAGGGTGTATGTGAATTACTATGGATTAGACTATTATTGGGAGACTTAGGGATACATCAGACCGATTCCATGAGATTATACTGTGACAATAAAGCCGCAATCAATATCGCTCATAATCTAGTTCAACATGACACAACTAAGCATGTGGAGATTGATAGACACTTCATCAAGGAAAAGCTCATTAGTGGCATCATATGTATTCCATTTGTGAAAACTGGGGACCAACTAGCTAATGTTCTCACCAAGGGACTAGGGAGCAAACCATTTAATGGCATTCTCAACAAGCTGGGCATGAGAGATATCTTCGCACCAACTTGAGGGGGAGTGTTAGAATAGGAAATAATATTGTTTGATTTTATTTTCCCTTAATTGGTGTAATGGGCTGGCCCATAATTTGTGCCTTGTGGTACTACTATAATTACTCATTATTATCTATATAAAAAGGGATGAGGTCTAACTCATTCTCTAACTCTTTCTCTTCTCTAAATCTATACAAATATCCTAGCTAGGCAACAAGTAAGCCACAACACAACCCTTTCTTTTATTTTCCTTTTTCAAATACATGTTCTTAGAGGTTCTAAACATTAATTTTAGATGTGTTTTAATGGTGTTCTTGTGTTAAAAATGAAAAGAGTTAAGTTTTGTTCCACACTTGTGTTTTTTCTTAATCGGTGCAAAACTATGTTTTTCTATACCTATCTCTCATAATTTCCAAAGGCACACCTTCAATTCAAATTTCTGAGTTTAATAAATATTATTTATCATGTTTTCAAGACAATAGAAGTGAAAAATTATCCATGGTTACCCTCTTTTCTTACTTTCTTTGTTATTTCAAGCTTTGTGCTCAAAGAACCAGTTTTTCAGCCCACTAGCAAAAATTCTAGAAAAATGTGGAAAAATCTCCTTGACTTCATTTTTATGTCAAAAGCTTCCTTTCGGTGTCAGCTTTCATGGAAAAAGAGTGAGCGGTTTGAGAGAGACCCTATTTTCGTAACAGTCGATGAATTTGGGCAACATTGGAGTATTTCTTGAATAACTAAAAATCTACGAAAGCTATGCCACTTTTGAAAGATGTTTTTAAAACTAGATAAAATTCTACAAATCATAGGAAGGCCAAGTATAGGAAAAATCTAGAAATGCCTCTTTAATTATAATCTTTACAGTGCACCAAATTTAGAAATTTACTTTTTTGGGTAAATTTATGTTCTTGACTACATGAATGTGTTTATTATCACTTGTTCATGTCTTGGTATGATATTGCATGTGTTATGGTTATGTTCCTTATCTTATTCAATTGATAATACTCATGCTTATGTGGATATTACTATCTTGTTAAATTATTCTAACTTTAATTTAAGAAATCTAACTTGACGGAAAACTTAATTGGGGTGGTATTGAGTTTTCGATCACTTGAATAATGAAGAGATGATAACATGTTAAGTATGGATTGATAAGATATGTTCCCTAACTAAAGATTAAGTCTTGCGCAAGTGGTTATCGCGTGAATCCTAGTATGGAACGGACATATTTGGACTCTTTGTGATGGTTTGATTTGGTGAGATGAGGTTGGGTCTAGATGGGACATTCAAGAAGATAGAACTTTTTTCGGAAAGATAAGGTTGGATTCAGGATGATAAAACCTTTTTCTTTTCGCTCTCCTTTTTGAGATCTGTCGATGGTGTTGCGCAGTATATAATCGTTGTAGGTATCCGTGGTAAGTTCTGCAAAGCAACAAAATGGGGCATTTCAAATAGTCCAGTGTCCAATTCTTACGGTTGGGACGATGAAATCTGTTTGGGAGATTTCTAAATTACTAATATCTAACCTTGTAATCCTTTGTTATTGACATGAATATCATGTTTCATTACTTTCTTGTTATAATTGTGATAGTGTATTAGATTAGAAAAAAATGGACGGGGTATGTGAGCGTTTACTAGACTTTCAAAACTCATGGCGTTTCATGCCAGGTATTGAAGACTATTAAACCGGTCAAAGGTAAGGCTGAAGCATTTGAGGATGTATGGCTACACTAGGAGAATTAGAAACTAGTTTTGTAAACGCGTTTTGAGATTGTAAGTGATAAATCTCTAGTTGTATTTAAGACATGATTTTGTAATTATTATATATCTATACCTATCTTTTGTATTACTTATTTCTTGTTTTCTTGTCGACTCATGTAGACCTTGTGTTAATACCTTGTTATGATTTGTCAAAAGGGTAGCTTTATCTAAGGTGGTTGGATTTTGAAGGGATGCTATATTGATTCCTCCAACCTTCCTAGGATCTTACTTGATTATTAATCAAAGGATTCATTAGTGACGTTTCCTACTCTTGTAACTTTAGATAAACTCTGTATTTATTTGCTAATATATTCTCTGATGTTCTCGATTTTTGGGGCGTCACAGTCGGAGATGAAACTTTTTGGAGGATCTGACAGACTGGCCCTTAAACTATGCTTTGGAAAGAAAATCGTGGAACTTGAGGATGAGAAAAGAACTGTTCAAGTTAATATAAGCTTCTTGTATATATCCTTGAGTCTTCATGACCTTGAGAGTTGATGTTCACTTTTTCAGTTGTTTTATCTATGCAGCAATAATGGGATCGTTTGTTGGCTAAAGTTGAAAATCTCGCCGCTAATAATGATCGACAAACACAATAATTTCAAGTTATTCATGCACAGAAATTAAAAGCACTTGAGGCACAGGTGATAATTTTAGCTAAGATGCTATTAGTTTTAAATTAGAAGCATCTTCCTTATGATAATTTATTCTAATAAAAATTTACCCACATTTATACACATTGCATTCAGGATCTTAAAAAGAAACAAGAGAACCACGTTCAGCTTTTACAGCAAAAGCAGAAGAGTGATGAAGCAGCAAAACTGTTGCAAGAAGAAATTCAATTCATGAAGGCCCAAAAGGTTGGATTTTTTTTTGTTTGAACACCTTTGTATTCTTTATCTTATTTTTAGTGTATGTTGCTAATTTTTTCTGAGGTTATAGGTTCAACTGCAACAAAAGATAAAACAAAAGGCAGAACAACTTCGACATTGGAAAGCCTCGAGAGAAGGTACTGCCATAGGTACATTTTTTCAATTATTTGGTTATTTATTTATTCATATAACTGGATTGGGAATGTTGTGCCACCAACTTTGTAGAACCATTTAAAAAATTGCAGAAAAATACCAAAATAGTTGAGCCAACAAAACTTTTAGGGAGGCTGTGCTTTGTAAAATTAATTTTACATATAGACTCCCTTTTTGACATTAAACTCAACTTTTTATTTTGCAACATCTTTTATGGAGAAGTGTTGTGGACTAGGACTTTTTGGTGATGGTGTTAATTGCATTTGGTAGACGTCACATATTCCATTTCAATCATGACACTACACACCAAGGATCCTCTAGAGTGTTTTTTTCCTAAAGTTTTCTAAAGTGGTGTATTGTGTGGTTGAGATTTAACGCTGAAAAATTGATGTGACTTATCATTAAATCTCAACCACAAATGTACCACTCTAAAAAACTTTAGGAAAAAAAAAACTCTAGAGGATCCTTGCTCACTTCTACATGCTATATTGAGAATACTTTTCAATTTAACAAATTAGTCATTGTTGATTGTTACCTCTTTATGATGGTTTGCTTACCATTACAGTGTACATCACTTTTTCTTTCTATATCTTGTTTTATATTATTGAGATCATATAACAGTAGTGGTCATATTATTGAGAGAAGTTTCTAAACATAGTAGTTGGTAAATATTATATGGTCATCAATCTAGTTTTGTGAAGCCTGCTTAATGAGAATCTTAATAGTACCAATGGGAATTGATTTATATGCACTTATGAAATAATAGCAGCTTATTTCTTTAAGTGACTAAATCAGACTCATGTGAGATACCTGAGTTACCTTTGAACCAACACACAAACAAGGATACATGATTATTCTGAAGGTGAACCCTATTGTGAATTCTGCACCTTATGTTCAAGTAGTTGTGCTTTTTGATATCTTTACCTGCAATGCCCTATGTGAAGTAATTAATAGTTTGGAACTGGAAGTAGTGGCAAACCCGGTTAAATTGTTCTTTCTTACATATCAATTTGTTTGCTGGGAGGTCAGTTTTGTTTCTAATTTTCTTTTAATGATCATCATCTACGTTTCTAGGTTAAAATTTTCCATTACTTGGATTGATCAATCGACTACATCATTAATGAGTTATGAATAACAGTTGACTCCTCTTGCATGTGGCTAGTCCATGTATCCATTTATTCATATACAATTTGAGGGCCTAATGTTAGTAGCTGCTATTTCAGACCACAGTTATTGAAAATTAAAATTTTAATTTTTTTTCCCTTCCAATTTTTGCTTTCTTTAATTTTGAATAGATGAGTAAGTTTATTCCTATACTTCTAGCTGCCTCTAAATTAATTGTGTTTTTATCATTCAGGTCAGAAATTATTTGGAGAGATGCAAAAATGGTCAAAGAAGATGGACTAACATAGAAGAACACTGTTTTTCATAAGTTTTTCCATTTTTTGTAATGAGATATTTATTGTGTAATCATAGTAAAAAAAAAAAAAAAAAACTTTCCTCAACCTTCTTTGTATATATTTTTTCAACATTCGATTTTCATTTATGAAATATATGAGGTTATTAACTATTCGTATGAGGTTATTAACTATTCGTATGTGGCCAATGCTGTGATTCAAAGGATAGTTAATAATAGGTGTATTATATATTATTCAAATGTGTATAAATATTATTGATTATATTTTAATTGTATATCATATTTTAATCACGGTTTATATGTTGTAAATTGTAATTGATGGTCACATTTTGTGGTTTCAGACTTTTTATCACGCACACTAATCGTGATAAGAAATGCATATAACTGTGATATTATTTCGTTGTTAATCATTAATTATTTAAGTTCAATCTCAACTTTTATTGGTTATTAATCACACTTAAAATCTGTGATCTAAAAGTGTGATAAAAAATGACCCTTAACAATCAAAATCACACCCTCAAAAATTACACTTTGACAAAATAAAATATGTGATTAAATAAAATACATAACACTTAAAATCTGCGATCTATTTATGATTTTGTAATAGTGATATATACAAAGAAATATTTTTGAGGCCAATGTGCAATTTTAATAAAATGTGAGGGGTTGGACTAATTTTATGAATTAAAATACCCATTTCAAATGTAGGATTAATTAAAACAGTGATAGGAAAAATAATTTGATTTAGTTGTTTCGTTTTAAATTAAATTGTGAGCAACCGAATAAAAACGGTGAGAAACGAAAACTAGGGTTTTGAGCAATCAATTTATAAGTAGAGAGAAATAATTAATATTAGAGTGTTAGAAATAATTACTAAGGTGGCGTTTGGTAACACTTACGTTTTCAGTTTATATTTACAAAAATTTAAAAAAATGTCATAAAAACTTGTTTGGTAAATATTTTGTTTTATAAACCAGTAGTCTCAGTTTATAAATTTGGCCAAAATTTGTAAACTCAAAAAATGAGTTTACGTTTTCAGTTTTTTTTTTTTTTTTTGACCACCCACCATTTGCCACCACCTGCCACCATTTTCCACCACCGTCTTCGGCCACCACCACCCACCACTACCGTCTTCTGTCACCACCATTTTCCACTACCGGCCACCACTACCATCTTCTGTCGCCACCACTCGCCACCACCTGCCACCACCATCTTCCGCCACTACCACTCGCTACCACTTTCCACCACCTTCTTCCGCTACCATCACCTACTACCTGCCACCACTTTCCACCACTGTCTTTCGCCACCACCACCCGCCACCTGCCAACACTTTCCACCACTATCTTCCGCTGCCACCACCCGCCACTACCACCCACCACTGTCTTCCGCCGCCACCACTCGCCGCCACCACCCACCACCATCTTCCGCCACCACCACCCACCCCCCACCCCCACCCCCCCCACTCGCCACCACTACCCATCACACACGTGGGGCCACCACTTTCCACCATCGTCTTCCACCGCCACCACCTGTCACCTGCCACCACTTTCCACCACCGTCTTCCGCCACCACCCTCCATCACTGTCTTCTGCTGCCACCACCCACCAACTGCCACTATTACCCATCACCCGCCACCCGCCATCATTGTCTTCCGTCACCACCACTCGCCACCACCCACCACTACCGTCTTCCGTCGCCACCCACCCGTCACCACCGTCTTCCGTTGCCACCATCTGCCACCACTCGTCACCACCCACCACCCGCCACGCCACCACTCGCCATTTCTCACTCTTTTAGTTTATATTTTTTAAAATTTTCAAACATTTTGTCCAAACCAAACGCGTTTGTAGTTTATGTTTTTCTAAAAATAAACAAAAATCAGTTTATAAAATTTTTGTAAATATAAACTGAAAACGTAAGTGTTACCAAATAGGCCCTAAGTTACTGGGACTGATAACGATTTGTACGGGTTCGTTCAAGTTAGCCCGTGATGCGGTTTTGGTTTTAGGGTTAAATTCGCGATTAAACAAGAGATTAAATAAAAGGCCTTGTGACCAACTATTAAATAAAGACTTCAAGTTTGAACAATCCCTCCAACCATATACCTAAAAAGTTTGGTAGCACATGAGATGAGAACAAGCTCAGTAGAAATCCCAAAATGATCTTAAACAGTAACAACATACAGATATCTATGATCATAAATGCATCAAGACATAAGATATAGATAATGTTACAGTTTAATAATCAGAATATACTTATATAAGTACAGTTTCTTTCTAAAACATTCATTTAACACCACAAGGTGTAAAACCACTTGTTCCCTTTCCAATTATTCCGTTTAGTTAGGAAAAAATAAAAATAAAAATAAAAATAATAAATAAATTCCACAACACAACCTTTACCCATTAATCGTCCACGCTAATATAAAAGAATTTCATCTCCACACTTGTTTCGAAAACACACGCTCATATACATACCATAGCCCCAAACTCATAACCCAACCCATTACACACGCTTGTATCATAACACATACAATATTTCCCTTGGCCATAGATCCAAGGGCAAGGAACACCCGTAATAGGATATCAATAAACAAATATAAATAACTAAACGTAATACATACTTCCATTTTCATTTCCACCGACATACAGCACGGATGACAAATGATACAAATTCATATAATGCTTTATCGGCCTTACCCAAAGGGGAATGACCCCAAGGTCACACTTTATCTGGAGCAAACCGAAAGAGAGAGGAACCTATCACAATGTGTCACCCTTTACCAACTCAACCGGAGAGAAATAGACCTCCATTCATAATTTACGGGGCACAAACCGAAAAGGAGAGGAACCTCTGTCAAGGGGTCACGCTTTATCGGCCTCACTTGGCGAAAAATGGACCCCCAAACAACATCACAAATGCTCGAAGGCATAACCAAAATACAAGTGTAATACCTCCACATAATCTATTCAACAACAACAACGCCATCCTTTACCAATGACCAAGGACAAAGCCTCTAAACAAATAAGTAGATACATGACTCTTACAATATAAATCCGTAACTAATTCCACCTTTTTCAATCAACCATTTCCCATATCATTTCACAGAAAAACTACACTCCTCATTTTATTTCCAAAACCAAATCCGTTATATCAAATTCTCAACATCTCCAAGCTTAGCCAGAACCCCTTTTTTCCTCCAACAAATCCAATTAATTCTCATTTTAACACTAAACCACAAATCCAATTCTTTAATACATAACTCGATTATTTCACATCTTTACCTTTTTACAATTAATTAAGCCCTTAATGATAAATTAGGGTTTCTCCCCACTCTCGACATAAACACGTTTAGCTATCCCAATATCCCAAAAACAACCACAAAACACAATCCCGACTTCCAAAAACCTAAACCTTGAATCTCGAATCATGCTTTTGAAAATTTCATAACTATGCTTTTAATGCAGTAGAATCTACCACATGTACCTATCTATAGATGAGGTATTGAAGAGGAGCAAAAGAATCATTACCTTTTAAAGTGAAGAGAAAACAACCCAAAAATCATCGTCTATGAAATGACGATCTGCTCAGATTGAATAGAAGCCATCACTGAGCTTACATTTTGGTATATGGAACTAGGGGTAGAAAATGGGTAGAAATAGATGAAAGCCAAGTTTGAAAGCTTAAAAAGGCTAAAAATGGTGAAAAAGGGGTGAGAAAGAAAAAGATAGAATTAAAAAATGAGATATTTTCACCTTTTGACACCTTTTATAGGCAGACAAACTGTGAGTGTGAAGGCTACACTGCGGCTGCTATAAATAAGACAAGCCTGGTCACGAGCGCTACCAGGAACACCACAAATGCGACTATAAAGGTTGCGAGCCACCATTACGGGCCACGCAATCCATCGTGGGCCATGAACCTTCCTCCCAACCAACTGACCTAAAGCTCAATTTGGTCGTGGCCTCTCGCTAGTGTGACCTACTCGCGGGCATGAACAAGGTGGTCACAGGCGCGACCGACCTGAGGCAGAACACCTGGGCTGCTATTATGAAGCTAGCCCAAACACACCGAAGGTCTAAACCACTCAAAAACAAATAGATACACTCGGACAACCCTGTGCCCCAATAGAACAATAAAATGAGTCGAGTTTTCTGACCCGAGCCACTACAACCTCCCCCACTTAAGAAATTTTATCCCTGAAATTAAGAAAAGTCGAAACCAAAAAGCAACTCAATCATAGAAGGCAAACACAACCACCAACCAAAAGCTCAAAGTGTACTTGGAATAAATTCAAGGAAAAGATTGTGAACGTGTCTTTGACCCACATAACCCATTGGGATCCATGAGACGAAAACCATAATAATAACCACTCGCAAAACCACTACAGAATGTTCAACACTTGAAAAAAAAAAAAAAAACACTAACCCATTCTCACAATCGAACTCTCGACCAATGTTCACCAAAAGAAAAGGAGTCGTCACGCAACATGATTCAAAAGATAACACACCAGCACAACAAGCCCCCAAAAAATACTATACTCTCCTCATATACATCACACAGACTCAAGATTAGTAAATCAAGCTAAATCACACATCTCAGCCATGTAAGGCAAGACAAAGAACAACATGTTCTTATTAAAATAATAAATAAATATAAAAAAAACAGTTTCCATTTTTCATCATTTCTTCAAAAATCATTTGCTTATATATAAAATCTTTCCCAAAAGGTGTTCCATCCAATTTCTGCACATTTTAAATGTTTTGCAAACATTTTCCAGAAACAACAATATTCGTATATTCCCATGATTTGTTATATTCAGCTTTTATTTGATCGAGTAAACTACTCATTGAAACCCTTCATTATCACGTAGATTAAATTCACAATAGTACAATTCAACATTGCCCTTTGAGGCCGCAACACAAGGAAACAATTTATTTTCTAGTTCATTCTCAATATCCCCACTGGTGAACCTCAACCATCACCCAACAACACCCATCACCCTTATAGTGATGATGCCACAAAACAAATGCAACATTTCTATAATAACAACTAATAGAAATAATAGTCGTGTTAATAATACAAATAAGCACAAAGAAAATTCACAACCTTTTTGAGAGTCTTATCCCATCACAATCATCAATCACACACCGGCCCAAAGGCACCCACAAAACCAAGGTTCCAACATGTAACC